ATACACTGTGGGGCATAAACGCAAGAAGCTATTTGCTATCATACTAACAGAACAAGAAGATCATCCGAGCACTCCATTAGATGATGGTGACATTGAAGAGGAAAGTAGTTTTGGGGTATCACTACATGCTTTGAAAGGCCAGGTGCCTACTGATACTATCAAATTGATAGGGAAGGTTAAGAACAATAATCTTACACATAGCTTCATAGATCCTGGAGTAGCTAGGAAGATTAATTGTGAGATTGAGATCACCAATCCTCTGCAGGTCACAGTAGCAAGAGGGCAGATTGAATGTAATTCTAAGTGTCCTAGATTGGAGTGGGAGTTGGCAGGTCATTGTTTTTCAGCTAGTGTCAGAATATTACCTTTGGGAGGTTATGACATGGTGATGGGAGTAGATTTGATGAAAAAACTGGGACCTATAATGTTAGATTATGACAATCATTCCATTACCTTTGATCACCAAGGACAAAGAGTAGTAGTTCCTAGCATGCAACCAGAAATATCAGTTATAATGATAACAGGAAGTAAGATGACTAATTTGCTGAAGAAGAAAAATGGAACTATATTTCAGTGCTTTTGTATGGTGATTACAACTGCAGCTAAATCTGAGAAGCATTGTTGGAAGACATTGTTATGGAGTATTAAGAAATATTTCAGGAACCCACAGAATCACCTCCTTCAAGAGCACGTGAACAACAAATCAATCTGAAACCAGGGTAAAAACCATTTAAGCAGGTTCCATACAAATATCCATACATTCAGAGGCAAGAGATAGAAAGATTGATTAGTTCTGGAGTAATCAAACCTAGTCAAATTCCTTATTCCAGTCCTGTGCTATTAGTAAAAAAGAAGGATGGATCTTGGAGGTTTTGTGTGGATTACAGGAAGTTGAATGCTATCACTATCAAGAACAATTACCCCATACCATTAATAGATGATTTACTGGATGAATTGCAGGGAGCAACCATATTCTCCAAAATTGATCTGAGGGCAGGGTATCATCAGGTTAGAATGAAAGCTTAAGACATTGAAAAGACTGCTTTTACTACTGCTAGTGGACTATATGAATTTGTGGTCATGCCATTCGGATTAACTAATGCCCCAGCCACATTTCAGAATCTCATGAACACTATATTCATCCAAAATTTAAGACAATTTGTACTGGTCTTTTTTTATTACATATTGATCTATAATTCAGATGTAGAAACTCACAAAAGACATCTCAGACAAGTATTTGAGTTGCTAAGGCAGAATACTCTCTTTGCAAAGAAATCTAAATGCACATTTGGGGTTCCACAAGTGGAGTATTTATGACATATAATCAGTTCTAAAGGAGTAGCTGTTGATCCTTTAAAAGTTAAGAGTATTATGGAATGGCCAATTCCTTCTACTCTGAAAGCATTGAGAGGGTTCTTGGGGATGACTGGTTATTTGAGGAAGTTTTGTTCACAATATGGTGTGAAAGCAAGACCTTTAATTGAACTAACCAAGAAGGGGATGTTCAAATGGAATGCAGAAGCACAGAAGCCTTTGAAGAGCTGAAAATGGCAATGTGCACTGTGCCAATCTTACAACTGCCTAATTTCAAAAAACCTTTCATAGTTGAGACAAATGCGTGTTATGAAGGGTTAGGGGCAGTATTACTACAAGGTCATCCCATAGCCTATGTGAGAAAAGCCTTAGAGCCTAAGAACCTAGGTCTATCCATTTATGAAAAAGAATTCTTAGCCGTAATACTGGCTATTGAGAAATGGAGGGCATATCTGTTACATGCTCCATTTACAATAAGAATAGATCAAATCAGCCTCAAGTATTTGGTCAATCAAAAAAATTCTACTCCTACTCAGCACAAATATCTCAGAAAGTTGCTGGGTTGTGACTATAAGATTGAATATAAGAAGGGTTTTGAAAATAAAGTGGCAGATGCTTTATCAAGAAGAGACCAAGAAGAAGATAATAAGATGGGGAGTTGTGCCACTATGTCAATCATCAAACCACTATGGCAGGAAGAATTGAGTTTGAGCTATCAAGAAGATAAGGAAGCTGAAGAAGCCATTGTACAACTAGTACCCATTCCTTGCAGCCTCAGTTATTTTTCATATCGAAATGGGTTGTTGAGATTAAAAGCGAAGATGTATGTGGGAACGTATGGAGATCTAAGAAGAAAAGTGGTTGCTATTGTTCATGAGAGCAGTACAGGGGGGCATTCAGGAGTACTAGTCACTCTTAAAAGAGTAGAAAGTATATTCTGGTGGCCAAATATGAAGTTGACAATACAAGAGGTGGCGAGCACATGTTCTACTTGTCAGTTGTGCAAGCATGAGAACATTAAATCTTCAAGATTACTGCAACCACTACCTGTTCCACTGCAAGCATGGCAGCATGTAACCATGGACTTTATTGAAAAATTACCTAAGTCTAATGGTTATGATACTCTCTTAGTGGTAGTTAATAGATACACTAAGTATGCTCATTTTGTGGCTCTGAGTCATACTTTTTCTGCAGCTATGATAGCTACCACTTTCATAAATCATGTATGCAAATTCCATGGTTTACCAGAGTCTATCATATCTGACAGAGACAAAATATTCACCAGCCTGTTTTGGAAAGAACTATTCAAATCCTTAGGAGTGCAACACCATTTGACTACTGCCTACTATCCACAGACAGATGGCCAAACAGAAAGAGTAAACCAATGCTTGGAAAACTACTTGAGGTGTATGAGTGGAAAAATACCTAAGGGCTGTAGCAAATGGCTTCCATTGGCACAATGGTGGTTAAGAAGAAAAGAAATCATTTGATCTTGGAAAAGTCATTAAATGAATACGGCCCAACTGGAACAAGTAAGCGACACGGAAGATTACATTCCATATTTAAATGAAAAATAAATTAAAGGGATAAGGGTCAGATAGGACCTCGAACTCGAAAAAAAATGTCAAATAAGGTCATATTTCGGATGCTCTGTCTGGCCGACGCCATTTGGGGCGGTTCCCGATGGAATTTTTTGATAAAATTTTTTGAGCATCTTCCTCATTAAGTCTAGTTTACCCATACCAAATTTCAGCTAAAAACTCAACCGGGAAGGTAGTCAAATGAGTTTTTGAAGATAACTGTGAAGTTAAACAACGCCGTACATTTCGGAAAATTATTTGACTACCTTCCCGGTTGAATTTTTAGCTGAAATTTGGTATGGGTAAACTAGACTTAATGAGGAAGATGCTCAAAAAATTTCATCAAAAAATTCCATCGGGAACCGCCCCAAATGGCGTCGGCCAGACAGAGCATCCGAAATATGACCTTATTTGACATTTTTTTTCGAGTTCGAGGCCCTATCTGACCCTTATCCCTAAATTAAATAACTTTCCCTAACTTCCCAACTTTCCCTGATCGCACCCAAGCTAGAACGGTAGTTTCTAAGTTTTTGATCATTTCCCAAAATAGTTAATTATGTAATTTGCCCGAACCATTCAACTATAAACTGTTCAATTCATCAAACATTTCAGGGAAAAGTAGCAAATCAGCCATCGAACTAACTTAAAAAGTGCAAATCACCCCTTTTATAGGAGATTATGTTCGTCCGTCGCCATTTGGGGCAGTTCCCGATGGGTTTTTTTGATGATTTTTTTTTTTTGAAAATCTTCTTCATTACATCTAGTTTACCCATACCAAATTTCAGCTAAAAATTCAATCGGTAAGGCAGTCAAATGAAATTTTGAAGATAACTGCGCAGTTAAACAACGCAGTATATTTCAGAAAATCATTTGATTGTATTACCGATTGAATTTTTAGCTGAAATTTGGTATGAGTAAACCAGACTTAATGAAAAAGATTCACTAAAAATTTCATGAAATAATTCCACCGTTAACCTCCCCAAATAGCGATGACAGGACAGAACCTCCTATAAAAGGTGTGATTTGCACTTTTTAAGTTAGTTGAAGGGTTGATTTGCTACTTTTTCCAACATTCAAATGTAACCAAAATAGTAAAATCTTTTTCATCCAAATTCTTAGTTTATAATTTCGATACTTTTTTTTACATTTCTTTTAGTGACTATTTACTTTTTTTGTGATTGTGATCCATTTTTGTTATAAATATGCTTTAGGGTTAATTTGTGATATGATTTTTGTGCATCTATTTAATACAAGGCCTAATTTATTTGATTTGCACTGGGTCTCCTAATTTATTAAGCCGGCCCTGATAGAAGGGTGCTCAGCAGATTGTGCGGCGAATAAGGCGAGGGGAGGGGAATTCGTACACAGACTTGATAGTGGATGACGTTCGGCAACTACTCCAAACAACGAGTAACATTAGTATCTCTTTTTGTAAACGGTCTGCGAATCGTGCGGCTCATGGTTAGCAAGAGCTCACGTGTCCATCTCAGATCAGAGTAGTATTTAATTGTTGTTCCTGATTATCTTGTAAGCCAGATGACAAACGATATGCTTTTATAATAGTAAGTTTGTGTTTCGTTAAAAAAAAATAGTCATAGCAATACAGTTTAATCTGGTTACATTAATCTGAGTTCCAGAATCTCACTCAAAAAATCTAACCTTAATCATATATTGACATAGCAGAAATCTAACCTTCAGGTTATCTATTGTGGGAGAACAAACACTCCTTGTTTCCTCACTTTCCAATGTTGCACATGTATCCATAGCCTAGAATGACTTTCACTATCACAAATGCTAACAAATGGGCCATATATGGATGGTGGTTGTGTAACTATTCACCCTAACGTTCTAAGCCAATAAAATGATGTTGGGCCATTGTGTAGGGCCATGCAGCGTACCCATAGATGTAGTGGTGATTTGGCATCCTTAATTTAACTCCTATAAAATGATGCATAAATTTAATTGACAACAGTAATCCTTATGCAGTTATCCACATAGATAACAAGATAAAGGGAGACATTCTGAAGTTTGTCCCGGATGTGTATAATTTTTTACCCAATGATACTCCAATTGATATATACTTTTGTTGTTGTTAACTTTTTTTAGGAAGAGGATTCTTACCAACTTTGATTGAAATTTAATTCTCAGGATACAATTAAACAAATTTCTGATATTTTCAACAGAATATAAAAAATAAAAAATTATAACAAGGTACTACCCCTTGTAACAATGTAACATAGCCAAATTCAAACAAGCTATTTAATCAGAATGAAAACATGACAAAAAATATAACAAAGGTTAGAAAACCAGTTGGTAACTGGCCCTTTAAGGCTTGGATTATATACTAATGCCCCATTGGGCCATTATGGCTGAGGCAGCCCTCCCTCTCTATTCATCCTGCTTTGATCCACCAATATGATAAGGATTCCCACCAGGTTCATCTCTTTAGACCTTGCTGACGTCACCCAGGGTCCACTAGACCTTGCTGACCAGTCACCACCTCTCCTCCTTTAACCATCCTGTTCCTTGACTCTTCAGTTGACAACCCTTTTTTTTAGGTGGAGATATCTGAATAATATCTGGGAGTTTCTTTTCCCCCTTTTCTTTTTTGCACTTTATTTTCCTTTTTAAACTTCAATATTAATTCCAACTTCCAAGTATTGAGTTTTGACAGGTCAAGTGGCTACATTGTTGTTAGTAACTGGAGCCTGGAGGTCACATCCTCTGATCTTATCCCTGGTGATATCTCATCTGGTTGACATCTCTTGAAAAATTAATATCCTGTTCCAACCCATACAGTACAATAAATACAAGTTAAGAAATGATGAAATTCATGACAACATAGCTGAATACCATAATTTGAGCATTAAAATGAAAGGAAAAAGGGGGAGTAGGTACATAAGATGATGACATATTCAGCTATGGACCATGGGTTAATTAGTATTACTGATAGTGATAGGTCATTGGATGATTAGCTATGGACCATTGGATAATTGCATGCCTAATATGGAGTTTTGACTCACATAAAGACAAGTCAAACCCATCATATCAATAATCAAATTTCACTTTGAACAAAGTTGAATTGAGTGTTATTCTACTCTGTAATAATTAGATATATTACTAAGTAAAGAAGATTCAATGAACAATCAAACATAAACAAAGTTATATATAATGCCAAACCGCGGAGTAAATAATGCATAGCACCCAGACTTCTTTTTCAGCAAGCATGCTTAGTAAAGTCTAACCACTACAGTAATTCGTTTTTTTATAATTAATTATCAGAACTAACTTTGTCTGTTAAGAAGTAGCTAGACTCTTATAATTAGCTAAGAGACAGAAGAAGAAAGTGCCAAATTAGCAAAGGTATTTGTTTGACCATCTTAGAAAATATCTTTTCATGTTCAATTGTTGTTAGCATCTCCTTTTCAAAATCCTCTGCTTACTAGACCACATACTAAACCAAACCCCAATATGGTCTACATTCAAACAGTGGAGATCTTGTAGGATAGTTTCATTTTTGGCATGATTTAGAGAAAATAAATGAGGTACAAAGGACTTAGTATTATATTACTTCCATTCTAGTGGACATTGGCTAATTTATACTCACGTATAAGGTGTGAAATAAAAAAAGTTGTGTGATTGAGAGTTATGTAGAAGAGAGAGACATAAGTCAAACTACAAATTATTACTTTAAAAGGAAATTGCCAAAGTTTTTTAGATAAACAAAGAAAGTTAGGAAAGTCGAATGAGTGTGTTTAGCACAACTAGCTGAAAATATATTTTGATGAGTTTTTTAGTACTCTTAACTTTTAGTGACCGAAGTGATCTTCAAATAAAACGATGATATTTGTTTAATAAAAAGCTGATTGTTTTATTTAGTTCTTTTTGACATACAAGCTTTTATTATGACTAATTAATGCTAAAAACAACAATTTTTCTCAGATACTACTCAGGTGAGCAGTATCTCAAAAAAGATATTTTTTAATAAGGCTTTTAAAAATTGTTATGCCAAATATCGAATTTTTAATAAAGTTTTTAAAAATTGTTATGCCAAATATCGAATGATAGCTTTTAGAGACTATTTAAATAGTACAAAAATTAGAAGACGGAACTTTTGTCTACTAAATATTGGACTTGATCTTTTAAAAATAGTAAAAGACGAAATGATAAGAGAGTTTTTATTAAGAAAGTGAGAGACTAAAGGGAACGTGTAGAGCTATATGGCCTTTTTTTTTAAAGAATATGGCCTTTTAGATATATGCAATTAATCCATATTTTTTTTAATAAAACGGGTTTGGAGTAATTTATAATGTGACTATAATTGCAAATTACGATATGGTAGGGTAGGGTGAGATGAACTTAGGGACCAGTCTTACTTCAGAAGCGTGTGCTTCAGCCTGCCATTATTTCGAAGTGAGGAGCCAAATCTCATTTCTTAGAGCTCTGTTTGGATGGAACTTTCCTTGATGTTCGTGTGAATTTTAAGGAACAGAGAAACTATTTCAGCTAGCTATCATCATGCCAGTATTCTCAGATATCTCAGATATCGTACTGTACTATACACTACTTAAAAGGTTGGCACTAAGATTTTTACCCCTTTTTATCCATAACCATTTCTATTTTTCTACCGACTTCCAATTTTGCATCCTATATTCCTATTTAACAATAAAATACAAATAAAAAAGGAAATATAGTAAAAATAATAAGGACTAGTACTTCAGAATTATGAGTTTGGATTAAAATTTGAGCATTAAAAAAGCCACAATAGTAGCCTTTAATAAACGATTTAGATTAAAAAAAATATTAAGAGTGAGAAAAAGTAATATATTTACTTGTTGTGTACATTTTGATCTAGGAACATGATAGATCTGCATTTCAATCTCATCCCAATATTCCCAACAAATGTACCATAGCAATATAACGTGTAGTTTTGGGACTTTAGATTTGGTCAGTATCTAGGATTTGGGCCCCTCATGATATGAGGAACATTTAACCAATGGTTCATACCCAACATGTTTTAGGTAATTGGGTAAACACAAATCGGGCGCACCATGTGATGATTTTAATGGTTGTTGTAGGGACATGAACCATCTCATAATTTACACCATGTTTGGTACCCAAAAGTGGCGTATTATGGAGAATAATCAAAACAAGTTGCTTTCAAAATTAGGACGTTTTAAATGAATTGAAATTTTATGATCGAGTCGGGTAAACATGTGTATACGTTGAATTTTATTTTTGTCCATATCGTCTAGGATGTTTTTACTTGCATTGAAATTTGCTGGTCTGGTCAGGTTTGAACTGGTGCGGTAAAGTCTAGTTCCTGTGTATTTTATAAATGTCCAAATTCGGTCTGATCTGATCTGGTCTGATCTGGAACTAAAAATAGTCCAAGTAAAAACATCCTTATTTTTTTAAAATACATAAAATTCAAACTAAGTAGGTCTGAAATTGCTTTTCTAGGCAAATTCAATGAACACTGTTTAGCTCTCTTGACATAAATAAATTTCAAATATAACTTTTCTAAAATTCACGATCACTCAAAATTTCATAAATATATTTCAAATATCAAAAAAAGCCAACAAAAAGAGTCGTACCATGTGATTGTAAAGGTTATAAGAAGAAGAATCATTGGAGTTGGTGTAGTATGGGTATGGGTTGCCCAGGCTCTGACTCTGCTGGCTCGTACTAGAAGTAGTAGTTGAACAGTCCGGCGTGGTCGGCTCCGACTCGTTTGCTTCGTACTCCAAATTCACGCCAAATAATCGCACCGATCTCCTTGAATTCCCACTTGCACCTGTTTCCACATGTTTGGATCATCTTATTCCTAACTAAATTATACTTCCTCCGTTCTTTTTTAATTGCAACAGTCAACTTTTCACGCTTGCCAACGCAGAAGTTTGACCGTTAATATCTTTCATTCCTTATTAGTAAAAAAATCAAAAAAATCAGATTTTGAAAATTTATTATGAGAGGAATTTAAAAATATTTTTTAAAAATTTAATTCATAATATATTAATAAATAAAATGTAGTCAAAGTAGAATCTGTGAATAGTGAAAAAAGTCCTACGTTGCAACTAAAAGAGAACGGAGGTAGTATTTATATAAATAACACCCAAAAATAGTGGGGGGTAAAAGACTAGTTTTTTATACTTTTGATCACTGGAAACTGTTGGTAATAGTAATAATAAATCTACAATAATTCAACATGCAGATCTCTTTCTGAAATATTCTAATGATGATGAAATTGTAAATATGCAATGTGACAAAATTATATGCTTCCAGACATTGTGCGTGGTCAAAAAACAATGTTGGTTCCATATGGTATTGCGTGCAAATTGTCATTTACCAAATTTAAGTACGAGTAAAATATATTCTAGAGATTGTATGCCAAGTTGAAGTTTGACTAAAATGAATTACGATTAAATTATTGATTTTGCGAGTTTGTTGCATAAAACTATTGGGGGTGCATCTGAAAGGTATTAACGTACGTACAAGGATATTTTCAACAAATTGATACTAGCGAATTTTATAAAGATCCCATAATAATTGCCATTTATGAGCAATTAATTTTAATTATAAAATAAAACTCCTCCACCACCGCCATTTAACAGGTTAAAAAATTACACACAAGTTTTGGGAAACTGTTTATTGTACACTTCGTACGCAACAGTGGTGAATTTAAAAATTAACTTCTAAATATTCAATTTTTTTTTTACAATTAACATATTCATTTTAAACTTACATACGGTACACAAGTTTCGTGTTTTTTAAAATTTTGGATGTTCATGTGAATACTGTGGAACAATACCGGTTAGGCAGTATGATCTAACATAAAATATCAAATAAAACTATTTATGTGATGATTAAAAATTAGAGTAACACTTTGCACAAATAATAAACTATGTTTCAAGTCACTTATTAGTAGTAAGTAGTGAGTATATTCAGGTTTGAAAAAGAAGGCTATAAGTATGTGTGTAAGGGCCAAGGGGAACTTGTTAATCGAACCGATAACAATATTGTGTGAAGAGGTGAGACAATAATCAACCAACCTATGAATTTAAAAAGTTGATGTGCTTTTATAATTATTACTTTAAATTATCACACAATCAACCTCAAGATATTCTATTCTTTACTAATCAATCATTTTTTTTATTCTTTTTTATCCATCGTTATTTATTACTACGGCTATATTTTTTGTACATTAAATGCATATGTTTTCAATTGGTTGCCCCAAGTATACTAGCTATCTTCTTTATACCCTTCCAAAAACATACAGAGATTATGACCTGGTAGCTATTAATGAGACTATTACACGTAGATGATAAGTATTTAAGGTATTAATTAGTACAAAAGTAATTTATAATTTCAATAAGTTTTATTAAATCCTCTGATTGATCAACCAGCTAGATTTGCCGCCCCATGTATTGTACTTGTCACCGTGTGGGGATAAATAGATTATTTTTTATTTAAATAAAAAAAAAACGTAAACAAACAGAGAAGGAAAAAAAGAACACTTTTGTTTTTTCTGCGTAAAAAAGATCGAGAAAAGGATACCTGCATGAAGACAGTTGGGTTGGTATGGAAGTGCATTATAAGTTGGCGGTGGTGGATAAGGATGCCACGCGTGGGCCCACCCACCGCCAACCGCCGTCCCCGACGGTTGAGCTACCCTACCCCCACCGCCATCTTTCACGCCGGCCAGCACTCCCGGCGCAACGCTATTCCTCCGCCTCCACCCGATGAAGAACCGGTCGCCGTCAATGCGGTGGCGCTCGAACAGAACCACGTCGCCGGCGTCCAGCCGCTTGTCCTTCACGAACCGGCTCCACCCTTTGGTCAGCACGTAGCTCTGGCTGCTGGTCCAGTACGAGTACCGGAACCGCCAATGCTTCCCGCACTCGTCCTCGAAGCCGAGGAGGAAGCCGCCCTTCTCCGCCCCGGCGCCGGAGTCCTTGCCGGTCAACGGGAAGTACCTCTCCGCGTGCTGTTTCGGGATGACGAGGCGGTTGAGCTTCCCCACGTCGCTGGGAGTCAACGGCTTCTCGAACAAGGGCTCTTTGGGTATTCCCATCAACACTTGGTTGTCGTTTTGTTGTTCCTCGGAATTCTCCCCGCCGAAAAAGTCGGCGGCGGTGTCTCTCGGCGGTCCCATTGTGTGGCTGTGTTTAGTGAACATTAGAGGTGTGGGGTGGTCGTACGGGGTGAAATAGTTGACGGGCATTATACCATTCACCGACGGGCGACGGGAGACGGCGGAGGAGGACCGGAGGTGGGTGGTGGGAGTGGTATTATTGGTATTGAATTTTGAGTTTGGAGTGTAGGGCGGTGAGAGTGAGGAATGTAGAATGTAGTCCTGATTCAGGGTATTTATTATTCTCGTGGGATCTCATTTTATAAGGTGGTGCTCCATTTTGCTTTACGTCGTTTTTTAGTTCATTTTTATTATTATCTCTTCGGGAATTTATTCATTACTTGGGAGGAGTTATAGTCTTATAGACTATGTTATACTCCGGACACTGATATCCATGTGTCTCGTTATTTTCTTTCTATTTCTTTGTCTATAAATTACTTATTTTTTCCAATTATATGAAGGAAATTTATAGCTAGATTGTTGCTGTTTTTCCTTTTCATATCAACTTGCATCATAATTTTTCCTCCTGTTGATATTCTCAATCAAATCAAGATGAAATTTTAGTCTTAGTCTTCAATCAAATCAAATCAAATCAAGTTGGGATTGGAATTTGATGGTCTGATCTGGTCTGGTAAATGTCTGGTCTCTGTGTATTTTATAACTACGGAAGTCAAGTCTGATCTGATCTGGGCTGGGACAAAAAACAGTCCAAAAGAAAACATCCTTAATTAGGTTGAAAGATAGTGGGATCTTCACTTGGTACTTAGAAAGATCATTTGGTGAGCAAGAATGCAAGATTACCTTTTATTTACTTAACCTAATTGCGAGAAATTGATCCAAAATCCACCTTTAATGTCATAGTCTTCAACCAAATAGCTTACATTATTTCCTTAAATACTACGTGTCTATTTTGTTGACATTCAAAAGTTATACACACTTAACATTTGATTTCGAGCATTCAATTATTTAACAATCAAAGTAAATAAGGTTATTTAACAATCAAAGTAAATAAGGTTGGGATTACATTCACGTTTATATATAATATACTACGTACTTTATAATACTTTAACCTTACTTATTTTTTTATTTTTAAACAATATAACGCGAAAAATGAACGTGTTAACTAATAGGATTGATAAGTCACCAAATAATCGTTTAGGCTGTGTTTGCACGTAAAAGTATCTGCCTTTTATCTTTTCTACTCCCTCCGTCCCTGAAAATACTTTCAACTTTCCCCTTTCGTCCGTCCCAAAAAGAACTTCATTTTCCCTTTTTGGCAAAGAATTTGTGATTTACAGGATTTCTCTCTCCTCTGCACAACTCTCCACCACACAATTCTCACATTCTTAATCCGCGTGCCACTTTATTATGGAAGTAAATTCAGGGACGGAGGTAGTACTATTTTAAAAATTTCTAAAATCTTCTAGTTGTACGTTTGGCATGACAATATTTAAGAGTATTCAAAAAATAATAGATCTTTTTTGAGATGCTACAGGGAGTAGCATCTGAGAAAAGTCTGTGCCTTTTAGCATTAATTAATCCAAACAGCTTGTTACCAAACAGAATTAAAACAAATAGTCAGATTTCTACCAAAGAACTACTACATTTTCTTTTTAAGATCTTTTCAATCACTAAAAACTACTCCCTCCGTCCCCTTTTAAATGTCTCGTTTTACCATATTGGGATGTCCCTATTTAATTGCCCCATACCTTATTTGGTAAACTTTGTGTGGCTCAAAATCATTCTTACTTTATTCTTACTTTATCAATTAATATCAACCACACAAACTCAATTTTCTTAAAACCCGTGCCACCATCTCCCGTCCCATTTAAAAGGGGACGGAGGGAGTAATAGTTACTAAAAAGCTCACAAAAATATCTTTTCAGCTAGTTGCGCCAAATATACCCTTAATTTTTCTTAATAAACTTCTTACTCGTACTTGTCTACTCCCTCCGTCCCCTTTTAAATGTCCCGGAAGAGGGTGACACGAGTTTTAAGAAAAGTGGGTTTGTGTGGTTGATATTAATTAATAAAGTAAGAATAAAGTAAGAATGATTTTGAGCCACACAAATTTTACCAAATAAGGTATGAGACAATTAAATGGGGATATCTCAATATGATAAAATGAGACATTTAAGAGGAGACGGACGGAGTATATGATAAGAAGAAATAAGAATTCACAACTTGATTTAGATATCTAAAAAATGCATAGAGCACTAAATGGGACGGATAAAGTTAAAATAATCATTGAGAATGCGTCGGGAATTGGAGTTGAGCCAATATATATTACTCCCTCCGTCCCAAAATCGTTCGCCAATGTTGACTTGCACGTGGATTAATAAAGTAAAAATTGTGTGGTTAAAATTTGTGCAGAGGAGAGAGAATTAACTTTAGCCACATATTCCTTACTTTAAATGGAAATGGCCAACCTTTTTGAGATGGCCAAAAAAGGAAATTTGGCCAACCATTTTGGGACGGAGGGAGTATTTTCTTTCTATTTCGTTGTCAAATAAATTATTTACGGACTATATGAAGGGAATTCATAGATTGATGACGTTTTTCCTTTTCATATCAACTTGCATCATACCACGTACTACGTAATTTTCCCTCCTGTTGATTTTCTCAATCAAATCAAGGTGAATTTTCAGAGGAAGTTAATATGTGTAAATAATACTCCGTATTCTATAATTTCCTTGAATTCAAGTTAAGGATGCTCACTTTCAATCACAATCTGGTTGAAAGATGATGATCGAGTCTAACTAGCTCAATTTTGACCATGAATAGGTTGAAAGATAGTGGGATCTTCACTTGGTACTTAGAAAGATCATTTGGTGAGCAAGTTTACCTTGATTAAACCTAATTACGAGAAATTGATCCCAAATCCACCTTTAATAGCTAACATTATTTCCTTAAATAAGTGTCTATTTTGATCTTGAGCATTCAATCATATAACAATAAAAGTTAGGTGACAACTTCGGTACCCATTTAAAAAATGGGGTACCGTACCTACCATGCATTTGATTGGTCCAAATCATTAAATTCCTTTTAATTTAGATTTAAATAATTCAATTGCATGATTCTGATTGGTCCATGTGGACAAAGGTACGGTACCTTATGGGTACCATAGAATCTACCTAAAAGTAAATGAGGTTGGAATTACATTTTCGTTTACCTAATAGTCTAATACTTTACCTTACGTATTTTTTATTTTTAAACAATATAACGCGCGAAATGAACGTGTTAAATAAAATAAAATTAATAATAGGACTAATAAGTCACCAAATAATCGTTTAATTTTTCTTAATAATCATCTTCTTTTGGACTGAAATTTGCTAGTCTGGTCTGGTCTATTTAAGTCTGGTCTGGTCTGGGACTGAAAACAGTCCAAAAGAAAACATTCTTACTCCTACTTGTCTATATCCTAAGGAGAAATAAGAATTCACAACTTGATTTAGATATCTGAAAAAGGCATAGAGCACTAAATGGGATGGATAAAGTTAAAATAATCAAATACTGTAGTTATTGTAGTTATTTGTGCATTTTGAAAATACAAATTACCAAGTATCTACTCATTCATGATAATGTTCTGATAGTTTATTGTACAAGGTTTATTTGTTTGGAAAAGCTAGCATATCAACCTTTTTATGATAACCATATAAATCCCTTTTAAACAAATGTTAGAGATAAATTTGATAGCAATCGGATAGAAAAAGGATGACACTTCATCCACAGGGGCTCAGTGCATCCGCCGAACAACTAATTGGAGGATGTAAAATAGATTTTATTCATACATAAACAGATAATGAATGAGGTTGTGATTTAATACATGCTTTATTAACAACTAGTTGTGCATTTTTCCATAATAACCTCTCATGGTAGTTATCGTGATTCGAACCTGAAATTTATTCCCTCCGCATATTTATTAGTTGAGCTATTGAACATAAATTTTGCTATGAACGAAGTTGTTTAACTTTTTTATTGAAAGAAATTAAGAACGGGGGGTGGGGGTGGGGGTGGAGGAATAGTTTAAGAGGGGGTGGCCAAAAATCTAAATCTCAATGATTATATTCACTGCACAAATGACTGTATGGTCTGCGCCAGTGTCTTACTCACTCACCTTCGCCGACCCTTAAATTTTGATGAATCTTCGCTGTTCCATGTGCACTTTTCTATACATTTTAGCACAAGTCAAAAGATTGAGTTTAGGTGAGACGATCAGATAGCCGATGACTTCTGTCCCACCATTTCCATTACGGTGACGTGTAGCTTTCTCATTGACAAATTGCTTCCTCAAACACTTCAACATTCATTTATTCCATTATTTCCTAATGTACTTCACGTCCTGGCACAAAAGAAAATGATGTCTCTATTTTGTACCATCCTTTCCTTCGCTACATATTCCCCTTTGTCAAGTTTCAATATTATTATTTGAAGTAATGAAGAATTGCATCGGTGGTCATGTTTTTCAGCTTATCACACAATTTTTTATAGGGGTGGGCAAAAATACCGAACCGGCATGGTACTGAACCGAACCGATATGGTACCGGACCGAAAAATGGGGTTTGAAACGGATCTCAATTTTTTTGTCCCAAACCGTACCGATTCTAAACAATGCCATGACCGGTTCTCATAACATGAGAACCGGTACCAGACCGAACCGGACCGAAGTGTGATTCAATGATTTAAATTTACATTTATACCCTTACTTTGACTACTATCTTCACACTTTCACCGTCTTTGCTAATTCATAGGAAGCCTAGAATCGGACCGATGTATGGTTTAATTATTTATATTTGTACTACTATAATTTATCTGAAATTTATTAATTATGTAAAATACTACATTCATCCCAAATTGATTTGCAAAATTAACTTTTTTTGGTCAAACAGTTTCATTTTATTCACTTAACTAGAATGTCACTTTTTAATTATATTTAATTTGGAGCTTGCAACCTTGAAGAGATTTCAATGTAGTTTCTGAATATGTTTATTTTAATTATTAAAAAATAAATCAATTATCAATAAAGAGAATTTAACTTTAACATGGTTGACAAAAAAATTATTGACTTTGCATGTCAATTTGGGATAAAATGAGTATTAAAATTGATAAATTGTGTCGATTTTTGGAGGATGAATAAACTTTAATTTCCACTTATGCACTTGAAAAAAGTGGCATTGTTTGGTATTGGTATGGCATGGTACCGTCCCGTTTCAAAATGAAACCGTACCGAACGGGTTTAGGTCTAAGACCGAACCGA